CCTATGCAACAAGACGATCAAGGCCAAAAAAGGCTAAAGCATGTATAATCGCAAATATATTGTAAAAAAAATCAGTAATCTCAAGGTAGATATAAAACAAAAGCAGCTGGTAAAACAAAACAAGAAACGATGTAAAATGATAAATGTAGAAATGATAAGATAAAGGTGATCGATTTACAATAGCTGAAGTGAGATCAAGTTTGTTTACATTACAACCTTTTGTTTTCTAGTTTTATCCATTTTCATGTATGACTAGTTTTACTTTAATATAGTTAAGTTAACAATTACATAATAAGTCCGAACTCAAAATTTCAAGTATAGAGAACTAGTTAAAAGCTTCAAATCTAAACATCCTTTCTTGCCATGGTACTGATCCAACAGGACTGTTAAAATACAATCTTTAGTACTCTCACTGTCTTTTGCCTGCCGTAGTGTCACAGTTGGGTCCCGATACTGTTAGCTTTATTCCTCCATGCTCCAGGGATAATGTTGTGCTGGTCGTCTTTTCGGTCAAGAAGTGCATTTTGCTGAGCTGGATACCGTATTTCGCAGATTATGCAGACATACACCAGATTCAATTACATCTTGTTCATTATCAGGTCCAATTTGCATAGTGGTCAGCAGAACTTGAAACATCTGGGCTTAAATGCCGAAAGCATTCCCGACTACTCGTCGACCCCTTGAAATTCTGTAAATGCGTTGATCTTTTGCAAGGCCTCTCTGTGAATAAGGTTTCATGAGCAACGTGCACCGACCAAAAGTATCATCACCAAGATGAAAGTAAGGCATATCGCTGTCATCAAATGGGAGAACCTCTGGTTCTGGAAATGTTATACTGCCATCTTGAGGATATTTATTCAATTTAGACTCATTAAATATCTGACAGTCCGGCATGGAGCCCAGACCATCGATTTCTACCTACAAAAACGTAAACTGTGCGTCTACAAGTGCAATCAAGACGACAGAGAAGAAGCCTTTATAATTGTAATAAAGACTGTCAAAGCTTGGGCACCTAATGACAACATGTTTGCTGTCAAGAGCGCCACAGTCATGTGGGACATTCTACTTGTTCTTGAATTCCTCAGCTAATGGTCTCAATTCCACAGGAGTTGTGCATGGATCACAGGATGACCTCGTTCTTGAACACCTCTCTGACGGCACAGTAGACCTTAGCAACGAGAATGCTGATGGTGTTGTGAGGTACTATCAACTGATACTAAAGAGTTGGATATTTATCATCAGTTGCTAGGAATCGCAGCGTAATAGCAAATTTAAGGCAGGGTTCCAAGCCTGTCCTACATTAAGTGTTTGCCTTTTTGATTCTTCGGCCAACTATTTGCAACAACTCATCAAACAAAGCTGGTTCAATTCTCACATAGCTGAAGAAGCTCGTCTACAATCCTTTTTTTTTATTCATTAGCTGATCCCAGTCTCTATAATGCAACCTCCTTTCAGGAGAAAGCCATGGCTTGACCCAGACAGCCCTACGACTCCTCATTCTCTTGTTCCTACTCCTCCTCATCCGCAAGGTCATTGCAATCTTAACTTGAAGGATGCCTTGTTGACCTTATTTTAGAACAAGGTGAACAAGGCATCCTTCAAGACATAGCTGAAGAAGCTCGTCTACAATCCTTAGTTTATTCATTAGCTGATCCCAGTCTCCAAAATGCAACCTTCTTTCAGGAGAAAGCCATGGCCTGACCCAGACAGCCCTACGTCTCCTTATTCTCTAGTACCTACTCCTCCTCTCAGAAAGGTCATTGCGATCTGAACTTGAAGGATGCCTTGTTGACCTTGCAATATAACAAGGTGAAGTACAACTCGATTGTATATTTTACACTTCATTCCTCCTCAAAAGGAATATGTAAATGAGAGCAGAGGCTCACAAAATTCCCATATATAAAGTAAACGTCCATCGATCATGACAAAGTCGTAGAAATAACGCAGCGCAGACGTGATACTCGTGGAAGAAGCGTAATTCCAGCGTGATGCGATCTTCTGGCACGTAGCACCATCCGGACACAGTCGTATGGTATCGAAAAAATATCGGGCTCGCATCGTGGTTTGTCGTGATATGATCGTAATGGGAACTTATAGTTGACGTAAAGAGCGTGGCACACGCGCAGGAAGACGGCGTTGTAACACAAAAAGGAAAAACATCAAGAAAAGCTTTTTTGTACGTAGTAGAAGAGTATCAGTGTCGTGTTAGGCTTCACAGTGAAAACAGTTTCCCAAATTTTTCACGATCCCGCTACGACTGTTTAGGTCGTGGAGATGGTAAAGAGCGTAGTAGAGTTTTCATACAGTGTGAAGGGGCCTTTAATTATAAAAAAAAATCAAATTGATATTGATTTACTCCATAAAAGATGCGGCTAATTTTAATCATATTTGCAAATTTGTAAAATTAGCATTCATTAAAAAAAAACTTTATGTTTAAATCGATATTTCTATATTGTAAACGATAACGTTCTTGGAATATGATACAATAATGCTATACTGACATATTATAAGTCTTATGGGACGAGTGTAAATATTAAATTGCTATGTATATATTTGTATAAATGTATGTAATGATACACATGTCACTATAATAAATAACTACTTTTTTTCTTACTAACATATCAGGAATTATATTTGACAAAATAGTGTAGCTAGTAAAAACTATTTATATCCTAGATCTTTGAGATAAATTAGAATAAGATTTCGTGCTTTTACCTTTTCGGAAAACTTTCTGTACATCGATGTAAAAATGCCAGAAAAAATTATTGACAGAACAAAGTGTTATTTTATTCATTGACATCTGATAAGGTTTAGGTAATATGACGTCCATGTTATACAAAAAAGTTTGACAGCAGTTAAATGTACGAAAATCATCTAATATATGATGTGTGCATGTATTCTACTCAATATAATACATAAAACGCTATCGACAAAAAATTATTTTTTTTTTATCTATTCCACCGTTATTTTAAAGTTACGTGTTTTCCCTCTACTTAAGGTCTATTTACGAAAAGTATCACGTAATAGATTATATTAGAACGTTATTGACTGATCGACATTTAACAAAGGGAAAGATTGAAATCTTAAAGAACTAGTTTAAACCCTTAATATTTTGATGTGCCTGTCCAAAGTCAGGAACATCGTCAATTCTTGTCGTTTGTCATATGTACTTATGACGGTATGGGTTTGATCATTTTTGAAGGCCGTACGGTAACCTATAGTTGTTAATTCATATGTCTTTTTGTCTATTATGGAGAGTTGCCTCATTGGCAACCATACCACATCTTCTTATTTTATATTAATTGTCGCTATTTGAAGAGTTGGTGCTCATGGCATAGCGTCGATTGTGTGTCTAAAAGTTATATTTTCAATAGACTCAATACGATTTTGAGCTTGGCATATTGAATAGAATAGTCATTAGAAATAACATAAAGGCAAAGGATATAAAGAATATAGCAAATCAAATGTGTCCACCGAAAACCATCCATTCATTCATCCATATATCCATTCCTCCATATATTCATTCATCCATATATCCATCCATCCATATATCCATTCCTCCATATATCAATTCCTCCATATATTCATTCATTCATATATCCATCCATCCATAAATCCATTCCTCCATATATCTATTCATCTATATATACATTCATTCATATATCCATTCATCCATATATCCATTCATCCATATATCCATTCATCCATATATCCATTCATCCATATATGCATTCATCCATATATCCATTCATCCATATATTTATTCATCCATATGTCGATCCACTCATCCATATATCCATTCATTTTACGTCACAGTACTCAAATTGCACCGAGTACCCAAATTGCACCGATTTAGCAAAAATAGCAGCGTAAATCTTACAAGTTTTCTAAGGGACTAAGCAATTTGTATTTTTATTATTTGACATTATGCACGTATTTAAAATAGGTCAATATATCTAAATATTTGCAAAACGTTCACAGTATATTTCAACAGATGATGTATTCACTGCAAAAAGTGAAATCTACGAAAACGTCGCAATGTGACGTCCACAAAAAGTCATCTTTTAAAAATGAGCAAAAAATTATGTTACGAGCATCTATTTCTTAAAACATAAATAGTAAGCATTGACTAATGTCAAATATATGAAGAAATAAAACTAAACATTAGTTATTCGATTTTAAAGGATGTGAATTTAAGCATGGTAGCAATTTGGGTTATCCTCATTACAGAGTCATGGATAGTTTGGAGGTCGGTTCAAATCCATTTTTCTATGATTCAGTATGGATTCAAATTTAAATTGGTGGAACTATATAGTAAAAAAGGAGACATCTACAAAATAAACACAGAATGGAAACTTTTGTCTGGGTCATAAATAAACGTAGGTAAAACAATCGTCAAAAAAGGTGCAGTTTGGTATACTCACACGTTATATATGCATTCATCCATATATCAATTCATCCATATATTCATTCATTCATATATCCATTCATTTATATATTCATTCATCCATATATCCATTCATCCATATATCCACTCATTTATATATGCATTCATCCATATATCAATTCATTTATATATTCATTCATCCATAAATCCATTCATCCATATATCCATTCATTTATATATGCATTCATCCATATATCCATTCATTTATATATTTATTCATCCATATATCAATTCATCAATATATTCATTCATCCATATATCCATTCATCCTTATAACCATTCATCCATATATCCATTCATCCATATATTCATTCATCCATATATCAATTCATCCATATATCAATTCATTCATATATCCATTCATCCATATATCCATTCATCCATATATCCATTCATTTATATATGCATTCATCCATATATCAATTCATCAATATATTTATTCATCCATATATCAATTCATCCATATATCCATTTATTTATATATCCATTCATCCATATATCCATTCATCCATATATCCATTCATCCATATATCCATTCATTTATATATGCATTCATCCATATATCAATTCATCAATATATTCATTCATCCATATATCAATTCATCCATATATCCATTCATCCATATATTCATTCATCCATATATCAATTCATCCATATATACATTAATTCATATATCCATTCATCCATACATCCATTCATCCATATATCCATTCATCCATATATCTATTCATTTATATATGCATTTATCCATATATCAATTCATCAATATATTCATTCATCCACATATCAATTCATCCATATATCCATTCATTCATATATCCATTCATCCATATGTCCATTCATTCATATATCCATTCATCCATATATCCGTTCATCTATATATCCATTCATCCATATATCAATTCATCAATATATTCATTCATCCATATATCAATGTATCCATATATCCATTCATTCATATATCCATTCATCCATATATCCATTCATTCATATATCCATTCAACCATATATCCATTCATCCGTATATCCATTCATCCATATATCCATTCATCCTATATCCAATCATCCATATATTCATTCATCCATATATCCATTCATCCGTATATTCATCCATCCATATATCAATTCATTCATATATCCACTCATCCATATATGCATTCATTCATATATCCATTCAACCATATATCCATTCATCCATATATCCATTCATCCATATATCCATTCATCCATATATCCATTCATCCATTTATCCATTCATCCATATATTCATTCATCCATATATTCATTCATCCATATATTCATTCATCCATATATCAGTTCATTCATAGATCCATTCATCCATATATCTATTCATTCATATATCCATTCAACCATATATCCATTCATCCATATATCCATTCATCCATATATTCATTCATCCATATATCCATTCATCCATATATTCATTCATCCATTTATCCATTCATTCATATATCCATTCATCCATATATCCATTCATCCATATATCCATTCATTCATATATCCAAAATCCATATATCCATTAATCCATCCATCAATGAATACAGTATCACTCACAGAATATAAGGGACAAACGAGTAGGGCCACGAATGCCTAAATTTGTCCAAAAATCGGACTTGTAATATCATATTTAAAAAAACCAATATTGACGATCAAATTTATGCATATTTGGATAAATCAGACGCTTGTAATGTCTACTGTTTGTTTCCGACAAGTTTAACAACTTCTAAGGTAGGATGTTTTAGCAGCTTTGACACAATTTTAAAGTTTTATTACAATTTAATGGTATAATTCCTTCTGAAAAAGCATTAGCTACAACCGTCGACAAAATAAATTAGCTATGCAAAGATATACACATTAACAAAAAATAAGAAATACTTAGACAAAAGAAATGATAAATACTAAGGTATTTAAAACAAAAGTAATGGAAAAAAATATACATTCTTGCCTTGCCTTTTTAAGATGTTACTATACATAAACTCATCATAGACGCCAGACACGTGTTTCGTCTATAAAATGGAAGCATTCGATGGATGGATACAATTCGATGTATTTGATACCGATTGTATTAATTTCCTTTTATCGACTTGTGTTTTATCCCTCCTTCGAATGCTCCCATCATTTTTATAAAAAATGTATATTATCTGTTGAAATTACGATTAAAATAAATGTTGATTTGGTTTCATTTTGATATGTTAGGTATTCATCAATTACATAAAACGCCCATTTGGTGCAATAATTTTGTAACATTCAGTTTATTATATACATGATATACGATTACGTAATCCAAGTTACTAGTTTACTGTGGATTCGTTATTATTAATCGTTGGATCAACTTGATCCTCGAATCTAAATATTCAATTTTTTATAGGCTTGTTTTCACCTTCATTTATAAGTTTCGAAAGAATTTTGTGAAATTTGAACTTTAATAAACTACTGTTGCCTCTAAACTAGCCTAATCGGGGTTTGAGGAGGGGTGGAGTGGTGAAACATTACAGGTATCTTCTAAAGGCATTTTTCAAGTACGAATAAACTGAAAAATCTGGAACAGTCAAACCGAAGTGCTCATCAATTTAAAAAAAAATTTATAAAACAATATTCTCAGTCAAATATCCAATCACCAGCCAAGTAGTCAGCACTTCTGTGTAGAGATGAATTAGCATTGATACGATCATAATTATACACTAACTTTAAACAAAACGTGGACTTTTTCGAATTACTACCCCATTGCAGGAATAGATTACCTTTAAGTTAGCTGTTTTTGGATAAACCTTTATGATTATTCAACTTCATATTTTATTTGGTCTTTTAAATTTTTTTGATTCATCACTGCTGAGTCTTTTTAGACGTTAAGCGTGTCTGGCGTACAAAATTTTATTCCTGGTATCAGTGTTGAGTTTATGTTTTGTACCAATCAAACTAGATAAACACCACCACATTTAAAATGGTCCAAAGTTGGTGGGTTTTCCCATCAACTTAGGAATGTAACGTGTTGCTAGCGGATTTAGGGTAGTCTATAATTTTTTCCAGAACTTATGTAGACTTTAAGTTGTAGAATTTGAGCTATGTTATAGACACTTTTAATTTATTTTGAAGACTTAATGTATTTTCTGGTTTCATCTGGTTTAATTTAGTTATTGACCTTTTTGCTAATTTGCGAGATGTACAGAACAATCATAGTACGACGAAGTGTCTAATCTAATATAATTGTAGATTGAATTTCACTTCTTTTTTTTCATGCTTATTAATCAGGACAGATATTATTAAGATAATTTATCCGTATATTGAACATGTGTTAATTGAAATCTGACGAGAGTGTGACAAAAATCACCTCATTCCATCTGCGTTAACGCCTCTACATTTTTTAGAGGATCATGTAAACAATAGTATATAATACCTGTCCAAGTAAATGCATTATATGTTATTGCCATCATAACTAAAGTTGACAGGCAATGAAGAAATTATTTGCTGATATATTCTACTCAATAATAATTTCTTTAACATTTGTGCAGTGCCAAAGCAGACTTTTTGATTCTTTATTAAATATGAAAGATACCAGAAGTTTATTTAATATATGAAATAATCTTCCAGTTACTTTTAGAAACGTTTAGATAGTTATTTTTCCGAAGCATGGGTTGTTTGCATGGATATCATAGGTTTTGGTAGTAGGTCATTCTATAACGTTACTAAGTTTGGGTGGTGTTCACGGAAATTAATTGCTAATTGCATGCTAAAATTAGTATATTGCATGGATGTCATGATTTGTCTTTCAAAATCATAATTTTAATTAGGAAAACCTGTAAAAGCTATAAACGTAAACAAAAAAAGTTAATAATAGGAAAAACTGTTCCTTTTTAATGACATTTTGTTGTAAGATTTGTAAACTTTATAAGTAATTCGCTTAATAAGTTTGAAGTAAATCACCGTTCATGATAGTCATCAGCCGTGTGGCTGAAAACCATATAACAATGGATGGCGCACGAATAAAACTTAATGTAAAATTATGAGGGACGTGTCAATATTACGGAAAAAAGTATGTATTTTTGCCTTACGTACATCGATTTGCATGACTGCTTAATGTAATAACTCAATATATATATAAATATATATTATTGTTAGAAAGTGACTGTAATAAATGGCAATTTTTAATGTAGTTTATAAATAGGTAAAAGGTTACAAAGATTTGAGTAATAGTTTCATTATGATATCAAAATAAGCGGCTGTATGTGTTTATGTCAATCAATATGGCAAAATGCTCTTCAAATAAATATTACGAATTTTCAAAAGAATTAGTTAAAATGAGAAAGTCAAAATAATTGGCGAGTTTTTAGTTAAAAAATGTCAGCATGGAAGCAGATGTTATGTTTTTTTTTCATTGTTCACAAATTTTATGATTTCTCAAAATAATCGAAGTAAGTTCCAACAGACTATTGTATCGGATCATATGATCTTCACACAATATACAATAATAGGCTGGCAGATTTAAGAAACACACGAATACTGACTGATCTATTACAATAATGATTATTATCTTTAATTGTAGATGATACCCGTTATCCTTCCGTCGACAAGAGAAATACTGGTTTTAGATGTCCTGCAGGATTATCTCCCATAGAATGTTATAACCAGTTAATGACAGTATGGATCAGACGTCTGATTGTAAAAACGTGACCTGAACTATAATTTGCTACAAACTTTAATTTATGCAGTACATTGTTGTATTTCTATAAATGCCATTTAATAAAATCATTTAAATTAAGTTATTGTTGTTGTCAGTTAATAAATATGATAAACTTGTGAATTTTCATTTTATAAATATAATGAATATGTAGAATATGAATTTTTGACATATCTTAATATTTATTGATTAATTTTATGTTCCAAAAATTTCGAAAGATGTGTACACACCAATAAAAATATCCATTTATAAAATTGTGCAGACTAAATTATTGTATTGTTTTATCAGATCAGAACAAGTGAAAAGACATAACAAAAGAAATTTGGAATCACTATTGACATAGTTTGCATATTTTGAATCATCGATATTGTCTGAAACTATTATTCACGACTAAAGTCGAGAGAGTCAAGATGATATCAGGACTAATACAAAGCTTACAGTATAAATATTTGTTAAAAAATTATTTTTGTACATTATAAATTGAATTTAATATGTGTCGAGTTTGATTTTCTATTTTACGTTTTGAAAAAACCTTTTTAAATTGATATTGATTGATCATTTGAAAGGCAGCGGCTGAAAACCTCTGACAGTTCTCATTAATTGAATATGACAAAATAGTATAGAAAATAAAATACAACACGTTATTAATTTGATGCGTCCGAAGCTAATGACACCGTTGTCATCGATTTATTGGACGACCTTCTGGACATCGATTAAATATAAGAAATATAGTTATACAAACTAACAGGTAGTTGTCGTCTGTTTATGTAGTTCATACGTGTTCCTCGTTTCTCGTTTTTATATAGATTAGACCGTTGGTTTTTCCGTTTGAATGGTTTTACACTAGTATTTTTTTGTGGCCCGATATAGCTTGCTGTTCGGTGTGAGCCAATGTTCCGTGTTGAAGGCCGTACCTTGACCTATAATGGTTAACTTTTATAAATTGTAACTTGGATGGAGAGTTGTCTCATTGGCACTCATACCACATCTTCCTATATCTATATACAGACCAAAGTGTATTCTTATTAATCTACGTCTTACAAGGTTGTGGTGTTAAATCTGGATAACGGAACAAATTTCAATTCTAATTACGTGGTTGTATGACGCCTACGTTTCATAAGGAAAAGTTTGCCACAAGTAATATCTAGAACATCACCTAAAACATAGAGTGGATATGTTTTCTACACAATAGAATAAACAAAAGTTACAGTTAAAAATAAGGAGTCTTGCGCTACCACCTGAAATGTGAAGTATCTGTAATTTAACAGCGACAAATACAATTCAAAACATTACATAATTAGTACACTACATACTTATTATTAGAAACAGAAAATGTTTTGAACCAGTAATAGGAGAATACCGTAATACATTCACCCATGTCAAAGTAAGAAATCCAAATAATTAATAAAAATACAACAAATTAAAGGAGTCCAATGAATAATCCAATTATCCATTTGTTATTCACCCATCCATTCCTAGATATATGGATATATGGTTCATACAGCTTACTTTGTCGATTCACACGGACTCTCAAGTTTTGGGTTTCATGCGATTCCCACAGTATTGTTTATGTTTTCACCTTGATTCGTTCCTTCTTAAAAGAAATTTACGAGATTTGAATATCTATAAGTTACTGTTGTCTTAATTCATCCACAATTATGATTAAGTTCGTCCGTCCACCTATCCATTTGCAGCTTCCTCTGTCTATTCATTCATTAAATATTTACACAGTGTAGGATTAATACGATACTTTTGCAGAAAAAAACGAGGCGAGGTTGCCATTAGTCTGACAACTAACAATTATTATTTTCAAAACTCTACTAGTTGATCTTCTGATTACACAGTAGGTGCAACATGTAGATCAAGATCCGTCTACAATTTAATATAACCTGATATTTTCCCTGGTTTTTGATGGGGTTCGTTTTGCTAAGTATTTTTTCTTTCCGTCGTTTTTCGTTTTTTTCCATAGCATTGTTCATAGTATATACAATAAATTAAAGCGATAGTAGTTTATCGGTATCAGAATTTCGCCAATCGACTAAAAATAGACAAATCAAGGTAAAATAAACAAAAACTGGAATAATCGCAAGTTTACACTAATGGGTGAGACAAGGTGTGTCGACCGGAAAAGCGTCTACTGCTATACATGTTTTACGCCTTACAAATCACTCAGTTAAAGAAATGCTTAATATACAAAAGTAAAATTTAAGCTCATAAGTCGGAAACAAACTGAAAATTAAACGCCAAGGCAAAAAGGAAAAACGACCAACAGACAAAAAACAGTCTACCAAAAACAACGCAGAAAACTAAAGACCACTAATATTACACAGTATTTACCAATGGCCAAGTCCATTATACACGATCCGATCATTTCACATTCAGATTAGAAATTTTAATGAAGTGAAGCACTATGATAATGTCTAAAGGAAATACCCCACCTGTATCTTTATTTTAATGAATTAACATAGCTTTATTTTTTACTTAAGGGTTAGTCAATGGAAAGGTAAACACTATGAAATAAAGGACAAGGGGCTTTGTTTTAAAGTTTCTACAGTTAAAGCCAAACTTCCAAACCAAATCATTGGATCTATGAAATCATTAAGTAAAGATTTTAATCAATTTGTGGTCACGAAATCCCTGTTAATTTACCAATTCAATTAAGTATCGATTACGGTCATAAACTATTATATATAATGCCCATCAGTTGCAGGAAACGTAGTACCGTTAATGTCGATTATTGATATGTATCAAATTGATGGTAAAGTTTTAACAGAGAGCATGATTTGTTCTCATTCATACCTTCAGCTCAGTAGTCAGTTTTCGGTTTTGACATCAATTATAATGTGAAACAAATATAGGGGAAATTTGCCATACCTTTTTTGACTCCATGATCACAAACAACCCATTGAATATTCTAGTTCACGCAATGAGTTTCGTCCCTTAAAATATTGACTCACTCTAATTGACCGAAATAGAAGATATCATTTAAAAAGAGCATTAATGCAGAAAGTCTTCGGGGATTGGCGGGATTGTTTTAGAGTCTATAACTTTTTGAGTGAGCGAATCCTAAGAACTATGAATCAATTTGGAGTGGCCTTTTCTAATGTTATTTCAACACACAGTATTTAATACCAATATTGTCTCTTCCAATTATTATGAGCAAGATTATGGTTATTTTCTAGCCTAAACCTGTTTAAACATATATCAGTTCACATGGTACAGTGACATGGCACAATTGTTAACCTTTAAAATGAATGCTGTATATGTCACCACGTGTTCACACGTGTTCACACCTGTTCACACCTGATCAAAATGACAGCGTTTGTAATAAAAACCGCGAGCTCAGGTGAAATGCAAATACTTAATTGCCAGTCTTTTAACTAGATCATGTTTCCTGATATAAGATATTTGACTTGTTTATGTGTCTACACCATTCGCTTTTTCTGGTTTCACCGACTCTACCAATCTACGAAGTTCATGACAAATAATGATTGAAACAATTGTTTTATAAATTTGTACCCTGCGTTTAAAAGTTCATTATCCGAATGAAGATAAAGATTGAAATACTATTTAATATTTGTTTTTGGCACATATTTAGTATAAAATGATATATCGCGTATCTCATAATATGGTTTTAAAATGAAGGTGTTAAACGTTACATTGAACAAGATCATTGCCTAAGAAGGCATCATTTTTCAGCCAACAGGATACGTACCTCGAATTGCTGATGAAATAAAGAAATTAATATTCAAATCACATATTTGTTTTTGTTACTTTATGTTTTCTCTTTTAATATATTTTCAGGTTTGAGTTGAATTGTCCAATGTAATTGTGTATCAATGATAAAATTGAGAAAGAAACAAAACACTAAGAAGTGTAAAAGTAGTTTAAATCTTCGGAATGTTTGTTTGCACCTCTCTGATCAGGTTAAATTCTTTTTGGTCATAGAATATTGTTTTCTCAAATAAATTTTTTAAAACTGATCCGCATATCATGCATATGTGGATGCATGCATTTTCATTAATCGGGATTGATGGCATCGTTATTGTTTTATTTAAATATTGATCACAATTCACACGCGGTGAGGGGCGGGTGGAGGGGGGGGGTGATAATGAGTAAATGCCGAAATTTATGCTATAATTTTACTTAATTGTTCATGTTTTTTTCTCTCTAAAAGTGACAGCCTTCATTGTTATACTGCTTGCATTTATAACTTTTAACTAATCATTTACTGAGGAACAATTAATTCAATACAATTTAAAAACATATTTACAACTCCTCGTCGAATCAAATTGTTTGAATATTTATTGTAAGTTAGTTGTACACACTTTCCCGTGAACCAATAAAATATTCATGAATGACCACAGGGGTAGGATTTAACTATCAATTCAATTACAACAAAAACAGTAAATAGACATCAATGGCACTAGATTAACTTTAATTACTTAGAAGAAGCACACACGAAATGTAAAATGAAGTACTGAGGACTAATTCTGTTCGATACATCAAGTCTTACTTGTTTCCAGACTGCAACATGAACAGTCGGCCCTTGGTTTGCTGCATCTGTGTTGTCATATCTATATTGAATGACATATTAATCCTCAACAAATTTAATTTTCGGAAAACATCGGACCTTATAGTGAGATTTGACTACTGTTCAAGTCTTATTTATAGCCTATTTACTTTAAATTCGAACAAAAAAACAAAGCGAAGGCAAATTAGAATTTAATAACATGAGTTTGTATTTTTCGCTATAGATGTATCTGTCAAACAACGATGCAAACAGTCTTTAATAATTAGAAATAACAATGGAAAGATCATAATCTTGTTACATTTTATACAATTCAGGGCTTACTTTATATTTATTACAACTCATTCTCGTGATATTTTGTTCATACTTGGATGTTCTTCCGTAATTCGTGTCTCTAAACTACCAATGAACATTAGACTTGTCCAACAAGAAAAACAAGTTTTGCTGATTTGTATCTGAAAATGCAGTGTTTTATAGATTTCACTGTAGCGAAATCAATATATCAGGGTTTCAGTATTTCTTCCGTCCATTTCATGTTTTCTTATCCAGATAACTTTTAAAAATAACATTAAATAGAAGACAGTAGCGACTTTGTGTTATATGTGTATAATAAATGTATAGAATATATATGAATAGTGTTCCCTTGTGTTTTCTATTTACTTTGATATCTTGAATTTAAGCCTGTTCTTTTTTTCCGTTTAACAAACACTGTCGTTACATCCATGTTAATATCGTTAATGTGTATTTGAATAATGTTCACATAGCAGCAAATATTTACCAAAATTATGCCAACAAATAGGATTCCTCTGAAATTAAATGCCAATCTTTTTTTTCTTATGTCATGTATGTATATAATATGCGAAAGTAATTTTTGCTTAAAATATCCTCATTTATCTACCGAATCTGTTTATAAGACTGAAACATTTAGAGTGTCTGTAGCATAATCTAGTAAGTCCGAAAGGAATGTAATACCACTGTCCATTATAATGACATACAAATGCTATTCTAAATCCCCATGTTTTCTTTACCATTATATGAGGAATGGTTTCATTTTCTGCACTGAGTCCATGTAACAAAATGATGAAGAGAACAGCTAAAAGAATCTTCATTTTGCTAGCAGGTAACAATAAATAATCAGTCCTTGATTAGACCTTCTATTTATCTATTTCTGTAACCATTGGAACCAACATAGTTTTAATATATATATATCGTAGTTGGAACATTATATACATGTCGTGTTTGGATTGCAGTTCCCACTTAGACAAAGCGTGATGTATAACTGTTCGTGATGTTCTATTTCCTTCATTTGAAATTGAAGGTATAACACAATGAAAGGGTATATAAATACAACAAATAGGCTATGATGTTATTAATTTCCGGTTTCAGTGGGTTGAGCTATAACATAAACACGTATTGTGCTCGCAGAAATCATGATCTTTACACCCACAACATGGTGGATATCACTGAGAGTTGACGATCAGTCCATTGAATAAACCTTGTTTTTTACCTTTATTTGTATTTTGTGAAGGAATTGTTGAGATATAAATATCGGCAAACTACTATTGCCTCCCAGAGCTTTGATCACGTGTTGATCATGTACGTACAACAAAATGGTCAATATAACTCGGTAAACCTTCTAGCCTTTTTTTCTATATTGGCATGGTGATGTCTGTTTGTTTTTACTCAAAAATTTTGAAGACCTGCTTAGTATCTTCTCTCACGTTTGCCCCCCCCCCCCTACTTCTTTATGCATATGGAGTTTATATCGCCCAGCTGATACAATACCTCATAGCTGCCTTCTTCTATTATAATGATTTCCTCGACAGAGGGTACAAAAGTAAAATAACAAAATTACCAAACTTCACTGAAAATTCAAAACGGCAAGTCACTTATCAAATGGCAAAAAAAAGAAAAGCGCAAACACATAAACAAATTGAAAACAACTGTCATATTTCTGACTAAAAGGGACTCTGCTTAAAGGGAATGTATTGAACCAAGGGTTTCTTATTGTTAATTTGAAGTCATCACTAAAAATATTTTATGAACGCCGTCATGATTTTGATATCTGTTATGAAATATCTATTTCAAGAAAGGCTGATCAATGTTTTCTTTACATTATAAACACTGCGAAGAAGCATTGTGTTTTTACCATACCGGAGCATCTGCAAATATTTCTGAATTGTTAGGTTTCGTATTTGGTCAGTTTTCATGTTGTGTGCAGGGTTGTAACAGATTTCAACTGTATACTATTTGGTCAGTGCGGGTCTTTAATCTACTGGTGAATTATCATCGTCTTAGTGAATTATCGGAATTGTAGCTACCGCTACAGTATTAGCAACATTTAAAAATAATGATGCCTTTTGTATGTAAATTAAAGGTAAAATCTCTAAGATGCAATTTCTTCAGGCCAATATGAACATGGTCAGTTCAGTTAAGACCGGTATTGTTCAGTGCACACAATATATGGTATAATTTACTTCAAACACTAGAAGAATAATTAAAGAATACTATTCGGGAAATCCGTGTTTGCAAGGAAATTATATAATGCGTGTTTAATCATTTTTTTTTTCGCAACTTTTATTTGTTCTCTCTATCCTTTAAAATTCTGTTTAAGGGAGCCCAGAAAAAAATAATTTTTGACTTTGAATGAGGGAACGTTTAACCTTTTAAATATTCTAGTCTGATATTTTGATTTTCTGTTTTAACTATCATTGTAGATAACAAAATCAAAATACAAAGAAGAAATGAAATAAATCTCCTGTTTACGCTCGTAAACCGTTAGTTTGCCAACTCTTTTAATTGTTTACCTTGCAATAACTTACAATAAACTCTTGCCTCGAAAGTTTTACTGCAAAAAGCAAGCAAGCTATTCAATAATCTGATTTTGGCATCAGACTTTATTTTAACATAGATAGAGAGAGAGACTACCTTTTAATAATCGATCTGTTTTAATAATCATTTTCATCAATGCTTTATAAGCAGTCCACGTCAGCTGTATAGACTAAGTGCTTTGAAATGAAATTTTATACATTTCATGTGTGTTCGAAAGTAATGTGTATCTGTTTAAAATTTATCTTTGTATGTAGTTCATTGGTTTTGCATTTGTGTTTAATTTGTGAATTATTTGTTTTAATTTTTGATAAATGACTTTTTTTGAAAATTTTGTGTATATGTTGGGGTCAGTGAAAGCAATTATTTTGTAGTGTAAAATCAATTATTGAGAACATTATAAATCCGTCATCTATGTTTTGAAATTGTAATTTTCTATATAAGGAAAAGTCTGTACCAAGTCAGGAATATGACAGTGGTTTTCCATTCGTTTGATGTGTTTTTTATCTTCTGATTTTTGCATTTGATGAAGGACTTTTCGTTTTGAATTTTCCTAGGAGTTCGGTATTTTTCTTATTTTTCTATTTAGAGAAGTAGATTTTGAATGCAGATCCTTTAATCAGATATGTTTCCCCATGCATGCAACAATTTGTATGTTAACTTATACTGGTAAATTTCATCTACGGTCATATTATTAATGGATCTTTAGTTAAAAAGAAAATACATGTAACACATTCTCTATTTATTTCAACTATCAATCTAATTAAGATAAAAACAGTAAATAGACATCAACAGCACTAGAGTAACCATAATTGCTTAGAAGAAGCACACATGAAAGTTAAAATAAAGTACTGAGAACTCTTACTGTTCAATGCATCAAGTTTTACTTGTTTACATTGTCACTTTGGTGTCGCACCATACACACTCGCACATTCTTTTAAGATTCTGAATGCAAACACTTTGTGCTGTTGCGGTGCTAGTTCCAGAGTACAACTTGAAAAGTCGGCCCACGGTCTGCCTACTGTATGATGTTCATATTGGATGCTATATCAATCTTCAACCAATATAATTTTCGGAAGACGACTTCGGCCCTCTGGTTGATATTGGTTACTTTGGCTGATACAGCATGTGATACTGATTTTACCATGTAGTATTCTCTATGTAATGTAATGCATAGAATATGTATGGATATTGTTCCCTTCTATTTTCTATTTACTTCGCTATCCTGCATATAAGCCTAATTTCCGCCTTAAAACATGCACTATCATTACGTCCATGGGAAACCGTTAATGTTTAATTAATCAATGTTCACATGGAAGCAAACATGCACCAATAGTCTGTCTATAAATGGGATTCCTCTGAAATTTAAGGTCAATCTGTTTTTCCTGTATATGTAAATAATATACGTTACTAAATTTTTGCTTTAAATATAACATTATATCTTCCGAGTCTTTTCACAACACAATAAC